TTCGGAGCTCCGCGCGGATTTCTTAGATCTGCGCGGGGCACCTCTGGCGGCGCCTCCGGCGCCGCCCCCTGGGGCGCTCCGCGCGTCAGGGAGACGGGTCCCGCGAAGATCCGAGAAATTCACGCGGACTCCTGGCAGTTTGGTGCTTCTGATTTTTGTTCCTTTAAGACGTCCTACGGAGGTCTGGGTGGTTACATTCGGTGGAAAGCGACTGCCAGCTCGAAGTCCGCTCCCCTCAGGTTTGCCTCCCCCAGGCTGGGACGACCCAGGCACGTGTTGGCCACGTGCCTCCTTTTGTTTTGGCCTTCCATGGGCATTTGGCCAGCCCGCCGACCAGGATTGCCATGAGTAGATTCGCGGTCAGGGTGTCCACACTGCCGCCCTGTGGGAGAGGCGCTGCAGCAGAATAGCTATGTGGACGAAGAGTACAACGGGGAAGCGGGAGGAGAGAAGCATTTAGTGGGGAGAGAATGAGGCGGACGAGGAGGATACTGCGGATATCAATGACAACGAAAGTCACTATGGATGGAACCATAACGTCAATCGGCTATGCTGGCAATCTCGGCCTCCCTCACGTGCTTGGGAGGGCCGCCGACGTGCGGACACAGGCCCCTGCCCGACGAGCCAACGGGGGATTCGAAGTGGCCGTTTTGCCACAAAACGAACAAAAGTCAAACCGTAACGGCCCCCAAACTGCAGACGGTGAGAAGCGTTGAAGAGTTTGCCCTCGACCATCTGTGGGCCGCGCAGGAGAAAGATGCCGGCACCCTGCGAAGACGGGACACAACGAGTGAGAGCCCCAGAACGGATTGACCCACGACGCTCAAACTGGGAGCAAGTCCTGCAGAACTATTTGGCGCCTACCTTGCGCCACTGGTGGCCGCTGTCACGTAGGGATCTGGCCAGGGCGGGAACTCGAAGGCCCACGGGGGCTTCAGGACGACACGCCGTCCAAGGGTCCGCGGCAGTGGAGGCGGCCAGGGCTCTCCTCGCCCGACGTCGGACCAGGGCCGCCTCCGCGTCTCGGCGGTCGGTTTCGGGGGGGAGGGCTCAGGATGAGTTCGGAAGAGGCAACGCGGGCCGCCTGGCCCGCGAGGGCGTCAGCACATTCGTGTCCTATAGTTCTACGTAGGTCGTCCTCGGTCGCGACATCGGATTCGCTGACGTGCGAGGGGACCCAGCGTATCCGAAAAGGATCACGAGGGATGCCAGTCAAGGAGCCGAAGGTCGCGATCGATGGTGTTTTTTCCTAGTCAAACTCTGGGATCGTCTCGCTCTTTGCGGTGACCCCGCGGAGTTAGAAGCTGGGCGACATTTCGTAGTTCACCTGCGCCTGCCAGTACAAGACGTCTGAATGCGCGAAATCTTCGTGTCCAAAATTCGCGTTGCATTTCCACATTCTGTGAAACAGCGTCCCCTCGTCCTGCTCGCATCGCGGGCACAGCGCTGGGATGTCGTACCCAGCAGCTCGCATTCTAGCACGTGTCTTCTGCCCACCAGTAGTCACCACCGTGTTCTAGCCAATGGGGTCGTGATCCACGTTCTTGGCGAAGGTATTCATCTCCTGTCGAGGCGCCGGGGCGTGAGCCATGCGGCGATCTGCTGTCTCCTGATGCTCTTGGCTGGGCCGTCGTCGCCATAAGCCAACGCCAAAGTCGTGGTAAGACAGCGCCCAGGACCTGCACCAGCTGCTGATCTGGCTGCCTGTCTGCGGAGCTTCCTTATCTCGTACTCTGGAAGCCCATGATGCTGGTGAGAGTACGTGCCTTCGGGAGGGCGCCTGTGGCCCACAGTCTTTTTGCCTCCTTCTCGAATCGGGCGATGCGTCGGACTCTGTGTCTGGCAAACGCACGTCTGCCCGCACTGGCCAATCGCCGCCGGGCCGTGTGTCGAGTACGGGCCCTCCCTGGGGTGACGTCTGCACCGAGGTCTGTAACAACGTTGGCCGAAGTGGCTTGCACTCCAGCTCGGCGAAGATCACTCGCCACCCGATTAGCAATCTGACTGTTGCTAGCAACCACAGCAGTCTTCGTACTGATAGCAAGGCCAGCTCCCAACGCATCCTGGCCGATGGATGCGCCCGCCGAGGTCAACGTATGCACCGCTCCGTCCGTGGTGTCGTCAGCTGTGATGACGGTGTCATCGACGAATGCCTTCATCATGATGGCAAGTTGGTAAGTACCGCTCGTGGGCCGACTGCAGCAGCTGCCCGAGGAAAGCGTTCGCCAACTTGCCATGGGGCGATCCAGCCACGATAGATTTGCATGGTGTGATCGGTCGGCTGATCCATTGTCTCTCACGAAGACACTGAGGGGCCAACCAAATTACAATTCCATGGCCAAGCTAATTGCGGGACACCAGTGTTGCAGGCCAGCTCTGCATAAGAGGGGGATCGATACACTGTCGTAAAACTGTTCCAAATCAAGAAGACTAGTTCCGCAGCTGATGCACAATGTGTGGCAGCACTCGTCCATGCATGCCCTAGCCAGTGAGGCTTGGACGGGACTGCTATTCTTGATGGCCGTGTCCCAGAACTCGTCCAACTGGTCGCTCCAAGTCTCGCTCAGAGGGTATCGCAGCTTCGACCAGACTTGCAAGCTGATCCTGTCGGCACCTTGGGGTTCGGCGCCAGCGCACCTACCGCGGTAAAATTCTGAGAGGGCCACATCAGATGAGACACGCAAGTTCAGAACATCAGCGAATTGTTATCTGCCAGGAGCTGGTAGGCGCTGCACCTCGATCGGACCAGGGTTGTCCGCGCCACGTGATTTTCGAGGGCTCTGCCTGGCGAGGACTATGCCGAGGGCCTCCAGCTCGATGGGCTCTGCATCCTCCTCTCTGGCGCGGGCCTCCACGTAATTCAGGCCCTCGAGGATGCGCTCGGGGTTGACGCCGCTGGCAGCCCATTCTCCTTCCCAGTAGTTTGCCCTCTTATCCATGACCACATGCGGCATCGCGTAGGTTTTGCCCTGCTGGTCGAAGTGTTCGGGCCGTGGCTGGGTCGTCGGTTTGACATGCCGAAGGGCCAGGCCAGGCGACTGCTTCCATATACGAGATACCCAAGATGCAAATGCGCGACGGCCGTTGGAGAGACCAATTTCAACAGCCCGCGCCTTGTACCGTTCGCACGTCTCGGTCAGGGCCTGGAGGGAGTCGACGCGCTGGCCATCCAGGTTGCCGACGGCAGCGATCCAGGAGTTGAGGTTGTCGTGGTCGCCCTGATGCTGGAACTCCTTCAGGATGTCGTTGTCCAGGGCAGCCGAGAACAACTCAGCCATCTTGACCGACGAGCGGCTGTGCTCCTGACATGCGAGATGCATACGGAGTAGCTGGTAACGTGCCAACAGCGTCGTAGAGAGATGCCACCACTCCAACAAATTCGCCGGCCCAACGGGCCAGGGCGTGCTAAGATCTCCGGTACCTGGTTAATAGTATTTCTAGATCGCGCGCGCGGGGCGGCCCCTGGGGGTCCCCGGGCGAAAAGTACCCCGGCAAGGTCCCGGCAAGTCCCCGGCAAGTCCCCGGCAAGGTCGGGTCAGAGATGCCGGAGTTCTGTTTCGGAGTCCAAGAGGGCTCCAGATCGGTCCAAGAGGGCCCCGAGAAGCTTTCTAGACGGTCCAAGAGAGGCCCGAGACGGCCAAAGATCGCCCGAAGACGCCCCAGATGGCCCCAAGACAGCCCAAGAGGCCTCCAAGACGCTCCAAGGGCCTTCCAAGAGGCCTCCGAAGAGGGCCCCAAGTTGCCAAAATCGTTGATTTCATTTGTTTTTTCTATGTTTTTTTGTGCGTTCTGGCCTTTTCGCTTCCGTTCGCTCCAAGAGGGCCCAAGAGGCCTTCAAGACTGCTCCAAGACGGCCCACGAGGCTCCCAAGACGGCCCCGGAGCGGCCCAAGAGCGCCCCCCAGACGGCCCAAGTGCTGCCCAAGGCGGACCAAGAGGCCCCAAGACGGGCCCAAGAGGGGCTCAAGAAGGGAACCGAGAACTGAAAAATCGAGCCCTCCGCCCCAGAAGGCGCCCAGGACCCCGAAAGAGGCCCCAAGAGACTCTCCAAGACACCCCCAAGACGCCCCAATAAGCTCCCGTGAGGCCCCAAGAGGACCAACAACGTCAGGCCCCAGGCCCCAAGAGGACCAACAAATACCGCCAAGAGCCCGCCGAAAGCCCCCCAAGAGACCGTCACGAGAGCTCAGAAGCCCCCGGGAGGCCTCCCGAGTTCTCCAAGAGGCTTAAAAAGAGGCGCCAAGAGGCCCCAAACGGCCCCACCGAGGCTCCAAGAGGCCACGAACGCACAAGCAAACGCCTGCGATGGCACAATACGGGCCGGCGGAATGAGCGAAGCGATTAAATAATCTCGCATGTGGGCTCTCCCAGGAGTAGCGCTGGTGCGTTTCCAGCTCGTAGTTGTGAATCCTTGCCCCCTTCCCCTGAACTGCTTGCGTTCCTCGACGTGGACAGCGTGTTGGATGAGTGTAACGCGCTCGACGGCGTTGATCCATTCCTCAAAGGCATTGGCTACCCTCTCCTGCTCGGCTGCGCTGCCCCGCAAAATGTGATGATCTGCAACTTCGTGTTCGTCGTGGGCCCGACCGAGTCCGCGCGGATCCCCGCGCGGAGACGCTCTGACCACGAAGTGGTCTTTTGTCCCTTTTGCCCCGTGCAGGGGAGCTCGGGGTTTCTTTCGCCCTCCGAATTCCGCGGGTTATTCGGCGGGCCCGGGCGCTTTTTCCTGCGCACGAGGCCACCCCAGCAGAAATCCCCGGCATCCGCCTGGAGACCAGTCCACTTGGAGCGACGCAGCCCTGTTCCCTCCACAAGTCGAGAGGGATCTCGAACTCCGCCGAGTCGCAGCTGTCGGTGGTGGTTGGGGGACTTGTGTACAGCTCGTCGTATGCCTCTTGGAGCTCCTCTTGCAAGCGCTCCCTGTGGCGCTCCTTCCTCTCGGGGATGGCCTTCTGTCGCTTGCTGTTCGGGTCTGCCTTCTTTGTGGGCCCCTGGCAAGTCGACAACGGGCGCGGCAACGCAGTGACTCTGTTCCACCAATGCTGCTTGCCCGACTTCACCGAGAGGACTGGGCCGACGTGAGCCTTCCAGGGGGCCGCGGCCTCGGCCACCGTCTCTAGCAACCAGGACCTTCCAAGTGCAGACCTGCAACTCCCGTAGTCGATGAGGGAGCCTCGGCCGAGGTTGCAGGTGGTGAGGCTGTGGGTGGGGGGGATTAGTTGTTTGGTTTAAACGCTAGGCTCTCCCTGGCCCCAGGAATGCGGGGGCCCGTCCTCTCCTGTCCTTGCCCCTGCCTCTGCTTGCTCTCCCCTTCTTCCCCCTCTGGGGCTCAAGCTTTTCTGGGCCAAGCTGGGGGCCGGCCTCAGGTGGTCCAGAGGCCAGGGCATCCCAGAGGCCCACTCCGGGAGCCCGGAAGATCCCGGGGTAACCCGGGAATGCCCGAGCGCGGCCGCGCCATGCCGCCGCGCGGGGCGCCCCCGGGCTGGGGAGCGGCTGGGCTGCCGCTGCCGGCCGTGGCCGGGCGCGCGCGGAGGGGAGGTCGGCGGCGTGTGGCGCCGGGGACCCCCAGCCGCATGCTGCTCCGGGCCGCCGCGCTGCTGGCCACGGCCGCGGGCTGGCCCACCCCGCAGATCCTGGGGGACTACGGCCCGTCGTACTACGATGACGAGGACCAGGACCTCCAGCTGCGGAAGGGGAACCGTGGGAGCCCAATGTTAGGAGGCCCCGAGGTCCCAGCGAGGTCAGGGCCAGGCGAGCATGGGTTGCCGCCGGCGGGGGTCATCCCGCCTGGCGTCCCCCTTGTGCCGCCGGCCGCCCCGCCCAGGAGGGGCGCCACCCAGCCTCCCTCCCCCAATGGCACTTCAGACACCTCCTGGATTGGGGGATGGGGCCTAGGCTATCTCAGCTGGGAGAACCTGGGGAACCACACCTGGTCCTGGAGGGCCGAAGGGATGGGGGGCTGGGCACACACGTTTGAGAACCTCAAAGCGCCTTCTCGACCCAACAGGATACGGGCTGGCTACGTTCCGACGGCGGCTGGGTCCTGTACCTGACCGACAGCTGTGGCGTGCGCTTGTTCGGCGCGGCCTGGCCCATCGTCGGCTGGGCCCTCATCGGCATGTGCTGCGCCGGCATGCTCGCCCTGGTGGCGCGCAGCCTGCGGACCATCTTCGCGCCGTGCGCCTTGGTGTGCTGGGTGATCGGAGCAGCCGCCGGCCTATGCCGTGCGTGCTGCTGCTGTGGGCGGAAGCCGCCTGGCGAAGCATAGGTGGGTCGCCTCCTGCCGCCGGCGCCGCCACAGCCCATCACGGTCGTCTGGACGGGGCCCGCCACGGGTCCGAACACGACGACCTCCTGCTACCAGAGGACCGTGCGGGCGCGCGGGGCCGGCAGGAAGCCCGACGACCTCCTCGTGAAGCTTGACGGGCACGTGGCGCGGATCGGCCTCATCTTCGACGAGCCGGAGAGGGTCGGCAAGAAAGGCCTCTGGGTCCAGTACAACAAGATCAAGGGTGCGAGCAGCCGGGCCCTCAGGCAGAAACTCGAGCAGGGGAGGTGGGTGCACTTGTGCCGCTGCGGGGATTGCCGGCCCCAGAGCGAGAAGGAGCTCCACTGCGTGGAGTGCGCGGCCCTCGATTCGGCGGCCGGCCATAGTCGACATCGGAGCGAGCGCGCGCTTGACCCAGTGCCGCTTCTGCGTCCTCACAGGGCGGACCCTCGCCAGTGGAGTTCGCCTGTTCGTCACCTGCGTGACGTACCTCTTCTTCTTAGCCTGCTGCTTCGGGCGCTGCAGCCGCCGGCGACGCCGCCGCCGTGAATCGGCAGGCGCAGCGGAGCCAGGCGTAGCTGGGGGAGTGGCGGAGCTGCTGGATCAGGAATCCGAGTCCGAGGTCGAGATCGAGGAGCGTCCATGCGAGGCTGTCAGGGTGGGCGTCCTCATCAAGGGCGTGATGAGGCCCTTGGCCCCAGGCGGGTGCCGCGACGCTGCTGACACGACTCCCATGACGTTGCTCTGGGAGGACGGCCAGGCCTCGGACCTGCCCCCGCCGGTCGACGGCAAGAACGCCACGGTCTGCCTCTGCGAGCACCACAAGCAGGTCTACATGGCGACCCGGCTCGGGGACAAGTGCTCGATCGTCACCTGCTTCCACCAGGCGGTCGGTTCGTCGGCTGGAGTACCTCTCTGCCTCGTCCATCTTGGTGGAGAAGCCGGCCGCGCCGCCGCCCGAGCCGCCGCGGCCGCCGCCACCCCCGCGGGGAACGTTTGCCGGCATTCGACGGCGAGTGGCCCGGGGTGGGCGGGGCCCGGGGGCCAGCGCCCCCGCTACCCAAGCGAGCGGTGGGTACACTACACCCCCCAGGCGAGGCTCGCCTGCCCCGCCAGGGGGCGTCCAGTCGGTGCGCTTCGAGTCGCCGACCGTGTCCGTCCCAGCCCCGAGTCCTGAGGAGGTCGACCTGGGCGAGTTGGACTCGGGAGACCTGAAGCATCTCCTCGTCAGGGCCTGGGTGAACTGGTCGAGCGGAGCGAAGTGGATCATCTTCCTCTGCCAGCGCCAAGAGGGTGACGGCAAGGAAGAGGAGTCCCATTGGACCGGCTCCGCCCGTGGCCCCGGGGGGGCAAGTCTCGACTTCGCGCCGAAGTTGGACGAGGTGCAGGCCCGCCCCGCCCTCAGCCCAGCAGGCCGACTGCCGCGGGGCTTTCTGGAGGAGCTACTGTACCACCCACCAGCAGGCGCCCGCGAGATGGGGATCGCTGGGAGAAGCTGCAGCCCTGGCAGGGCAAACCCATCGGGGGCAAACGCCGCTCGCCCAAGGCTTGGCAATGGCAGCTCATCCGCACGAGAGGCAGCACTATCATCAACTGGCACCCAGCGGGGTCGGCGTCAGCCACAGGAGATATGCCGAGCGGCGAGAAGAACGAGCTCGACGCCACGACGAAGGGCCTGAACGATCACTGGAAGCGGCTGGACCGCAGCGGGTCGCCGCAGGCCCCGTCCCGGGGGGGCCGGGGCAGCAGCAGCGGGAGGTCTCCATCCATGACGCCCCCGCGCTCAGACCGACGCCCGCCCCGCGATCGGGACGACAGGCCAGGTCCAGAGTCAGAGACAGACGACCAGGGCCAGGGAGAGGCCAAGCTCAGCGTCTACCTCGAGGCGCGGGGCAACGGATCTGACGAGGCCGACGCCCTGCAGTGCGTCGCCTCCGGCTTCGACGAGGAGATCAGCACCGTGGTTGAGCGGCTCGCCCACTACGCGGGGCATTTGGCCATTTACGCTGAG